TAAACATCAGCAGACTACCCAGTAGTTACTGAGTATTTCTGGATCAAACGATGTCCATATGAAGTTGAATACGTTAAAACGAATATTTCATAGACTACTCCAAAATGTGGCGCATCCACTCCGTTCGAGCAGCCCCTTATGGTGGAAGACAAAAAAGTGTGAATGAAACACACGATTAACAGTCCAGTATTTTAAAAATTTTCATTTGAAGTGTCGTTTCTCTACATTTTGGAAACAGACCTTGTTCCTATCATGATTTGATCATCATTAACAAAGTTATGGGCGCTACTACAATATATTTTATTGATACCAAAATTTTTCAAAGTAGCTAAAAAGCTATGATCTAGAAGTAACGGCTCTAAAATATTATTCGGCAGAAATACGAACAAAAAAGTTACATATTTGTCTTGGGCTGCAAAAAAAATTAGCCAAAAATATAATGGACATAGAACAAAAATTACGCAATTTTTTTATTCTACTGAAAATTTTTAATTTTTGTTCTTACATTATAAAAAAAATGAAAGCATAAGGGCTTATACATTCCATGAAGACACCATATATAATTTATAATCTTCAATAAGTGTTATAGCACTTAGAAAAAAAGCTGCGTGATCTTGTACAAACCGCTGGCTAAAACATCTATGTCATGTAAACTATTTTATTAATGAAGTCATAAATTATATGTGCAATACATCATTAAATTATTACTCTCAAAAACACACCTTTAGAATTAAATTATCAACCTTATTTCAGCTGAATAGTATATTATTTATTTATTTATTCCACCCTCCCATGCCACTATGCCAATACGAGTGTTTGCGATAGTATGTTATTATGTATGAATGCTTAATAACACACTACTACTAGTTAATATGATGTGCACACATCTAGCAGTACTTCTGTTCATCTTCTTCTTGTTTCGGCCTAGCTTCTAGAATCTTGAGGTCTTCCTGGCGCTTGTCCTCTTCTTCTGCGGGCACCAATATGGAAGTGAGCGGGCCCCACCACCGTCTTCCATCGATATATGAAATCCTTAAACCGAGGGAAATTTTCCTCGCTGACTAACTGAGAAAACTCATTTTCAGTGAGGACATAGATTACCGCGGCTCTTGCCATAGTCGCTCTTAACGTTTCAAATGCGGTGCAGGTCGTAACCACGTGCTCTACAGTTTCCGGAACACTACAGATTGGGCATAGTGGATCTACATCAATGCCCAGACCGTGAAGTTTAGTTCGAAATCTTCCATGCCCAGTGAGGAACTGGGAAATCCAGAAGTCCGGGAAGACCCACTTTGCCTGAAGCCTCGACTGTATTGTGGGAAAGTACTTCCTCCATGTTCCTTTTAGGAGTTGCTATCCACCGCCGGTTCCATGCATCGATTGTATCCTCCCGGAATATCTTCTGCCATCTATTAGGCGCTTCCATAATCCTCACCTGAAGATTGTCTGAAAGTACTGTAGAATCTTCCTATAAGAATATTTCGTCACTTCTTCTTGTAGGAGGAGCTCGAGAGGCACCACCCCCGCCAGGACCTGCACCGCTTCATGCGAAGTTGTCTTGTATGCTCTGGTGACCCGAAGCAGAGCTGTCTTCTAGTCGAGGCTAGGCTTTGTCGTAGTGTGAGGTTACGGAACCAGAAGGGAGACGCATACCTCAGGATACCCTCCACAACACTTTTATATATCGTGATTGTGGCTGGATACCTAAGGCGCCAGAATGCGCCCCCCACGCGAGTTAGACCGTTCATTGCTAGAGCTGCCCTATCTGGCAAATATTCCAAGTGAGGTGTCACATTTAGGCCTAAACCTAATCTAACTGCTGAATACTACATTACCTTAATATATTTTTACCAGATTATCATTATTTAAAATCAATCATTTTAACACAAATTTGGATCATCCTCTCCCCTCCTCCACCCCCAATCAATGTTGCCCCTTCCTCTCCCGCTTTATCAATCCACTTGGTCCCACGGTCCAGTTGCCCGGCGTGAATCCGCACCAAGCACCTATATTTTGTCCATTTGTAGCCATTTTGGGAAGTAATCCTTAATGCTGAAGTAATGATGTCCAGTTTTGCTTGACCATTGTAAAATATGTCAGGGGACTATGTGCACCTTTCGGCCAAGATCTCCGACTTCTGCGTCATTCGTAGGATTTGTTCCCTCGCAGTTGATTTTCTAGTTAGGACCCAGCCGACTCCTACCGTCTTCGGCTCGATGAGCACTGCTACCAGGGATATCTATCGACCTCCTGGTCTAGATCCACCGTCTTCAGTCGAAAACAGGGTCATATCGGGCAGGATGAGGTTCTTCACCGCTTATGTCTATTATTTATAATTTATATTTCATATTATTCCTAAGCTTGTTGATGTTTTCACACCTATTGTATAGTCTAAAGCACATACACCTTCGTTTTTATTTTTTATTTATTTTTTTTTATCCTATTATAAGTACTTTCTTCCCCTTTCAGATAAGCTAAATACGAATACGAGATGTATTTCCCGATTTTTCTCTTTTTTCCATGTTACAGCTCCAATTCCAGGGAATGAAGCATCTAAACCCTGGGATGCAGTTCTAATCCGCCGAGATTATAGTAAAATTTTTGAACTGCGGCAATGCAGCGAGAATAGGTGCTGCCCGACCCTTTTCGTATGCTGCATAGGTAGACATTCTATGGATCCTACTTACTACTGCTGCGTTGGTACTTCTAGGTATTTACTTACAATTATAAATAGAATATATATCATAATATTAGTGACTAATCACAGGAAATGTTTTACAGGAAAATATATGCAGTCATGTGCTAGCAGAAATAACATTACCCTGAATCAGTTCGATACCTGTTTAATTTGTAATACTGTAACTTATTTTGTATTTGTAACTTTTTTTATAATAAATTGTATTATATATCATTAATATAACGCATACGTCTATAATAAACGAATACACCTTCCTTAGTATATAGACCAAATGTAAAGGTATAAGCGTAATTGGAAATTAAAACGAAAAATATTCTCGAAATAAATACTTAGCATCAGGGGTGCCCATCCCCCCAAGGTCGATGGCGCATGAACCATTTCTCCTTCCTCTCCTTCCCCCCCTTTCCATTCCCAAGATATGTTTTGCTCTTCTCTTTTTAAAAATCATGTAAGCAAAAGAAGAATTTTAAAAGACATAGATCATATACAATTACACTTGATGCGGTCTATTCCATGTTTCCCCTTTTTTCCTTGGTTCTAAACTTTTTTTTTTAATTCAAAACCCCATCAAAATGTGCCCGATCAAAACTTTTTTGCGCCACGAAACTTCCTTCTGGACACCCCTGCTTACCATTGGAGATCTAAGGTGAGTTTACTTTAGCCAAAGTTGATTTGAACTAGTGGTGGAGTATTTAGTAGCAATCGGTTTAGTTTGAACAGTTTCTTCAACTAAACAGATACAGTAAATTGTTTCATTCGGGATTGAACACATACAAGTTAATAGAAGAGAAAAGCTCTTAAATTCAGCGCTGTACTCATTGTTGGCATCCCATTGATCTCTGAACAGAGCAGAACGAAGCCATTGATGAACTCAGCGCAGAGTTTAGGAACTTGCCCAAGATCTTTCTCTTTACAGTAGGTGAACAGGTTAGTAGGTGTACATTCAGTGAAACACTGAATATGTTTAATTTAAACAGTTTCTGAAACAGATATTTCTACTTCTTCTTCCAGTTCTTTATTTTCCATTTGTGCATACCAAATTTTAATTTTTAATGATAATATTCGAAATCGAAATAAAACTGTTTCTATTTTTCACCCTCGTTAACCAACGTAGGGAAACATTGTATTTTTATATTTGACAAGAAGCATTCTTATTTTTATAGGAAATAATGTTTGACGATATTTCACAACTTATCTGCATAAACCGATAGGGAAATTGATAAATGCTTAAAGAAATTTAATCATAATTTTTTTTTAACTTAAATTAAAATATTTAAAAATAAATAGTTTAGTTTATTGTGCTAATTACAGCGAATGGTGTGCAATAAATTAATTTTTCGGTTGATATTTTAAAAATAAAAACTTTTTCAATTTCAATACATCGTCGGTTCAGTGCAAAAAGTCATTTCATTACCTAAAATAATTACAAACTTTGAAGACTTTTCTCTTCATGAAAACAGAAAATTGTGCACTTGATGTAACTATATTTGATACATAAAAGGGTTTGTTTCAGTTTTATGTGCTTAGTGTTTTTATATCGATAAATAAAGTCGAAATTCACAAATTGGTCAAATAAGTTATTGTATTGTATAAAGTAATTGTATTGTGTTAATGTTAATCACTTACATTAACAGTCGTGATGAAGTTGAAGGTTCACCAATAGTTTGTGTTGAATATAAGATCTTGATAATATAATATAATATCTTGTATAAACGAATACACATGTTAGGCTGAAGTCGCTTATACAACAAATATAAAGGAAAGAGATAATTAACTAATTTGAGAGTTCTATCTGAACTATATTAGTTATTCATATTACAGCTAACAACAATAAAGAATGATCAAATTCAAATAATGTATTCTTCTTGTACAATGAATTCCCTTTCGCGACCGGTTATCATTTCTACATCTTTGTCAGGTTGATTCTAACACAATAATTGCGATTAAGGACAATATCCAATTATTGTGTTTTTATTTTCATTCATCTACTCCTACAACTGTTTATAAACTTTGAGTCAAGTGTTTTTTTTTTTTTTTTGTTTTTTTTTTTGTTCTTCCCTACCTCACCTTTTAGGCTATACGGGATTTTCCCGGGCCGGGAGGTGAGGGCGGGGAAATTTAAAATCCCCTCCGGCACCGGGACGCGAACTCGTACTTTTTTATATCATCTCAAATCTCTGTTATCCGGTTGCCAGGCAACTAGCGGTGCTGTCACACACGCTTTAGCCTATTCGGCCACCCCGCCCCCTAAGAGTCAAGTGGTTGCAAAATTTTCCATAACTGTTATCCTGTTTAATGTTATATTTTTACCTAAGTGACAACTGGTTTGATAACGAATTCTGTAAATCCCCTATATGTGTTTTTATCAAAATAATCCTTCAATGTAAGATTAGGTTATGTAAAACTGAAAACAGAAATACCAGAGAATATTATAACCTTATTCTTTATTTGTTTAGTTCTTTCATCACGTTCGTAATCCGTTTATAAAAAACTAATCGTTCACAATCAGGGAAGCATTCAGATTTATTTATTTACTTAAAGTGCCTCCTGTATTCGGAATGATAATCATGTTTGTGTTATTTACTGCCAAAAAAATTAACAATGATTACATCGTCATTTCCAAAAGAATAATTGTAATGTGAGGAATAATTGTTTGTTTTGCTTTTGGATGGAGCGCTACCAATAGGTAGTTTCTCTTCATGTTGTAGCAGACAGAGTATCATGTAGAGGCTTGACAATAGGTTCCAAAATATCGTCCTGATAGTTTTTAGTGGTTGTTTTAACTCCTTCACGAAAATGCAGCTTTGTGGTGCCATCAAAGCAAACTCCCCAAGAGCCATCACTGAGGAAGGGTCATGACCTCTTTCCACTCTTCCAATGACTTCCTGGACTTCTAAGCTTCTTTAGACCGCACAAACGATCATTTTGGCGATTAAATTTTTCTTTAATTGTAAAAATTTTCTCATCGCTAAACAAAGCTTTCGATGAAGACCATTGGTGTAACGGCCAAGGAGCACATTGCATTTATCCACTTTAATTTTTTTTAGGGAAGTTGTTAGCCTTTGTCCTGCCATTCTTCGAGATGCGCCCATTCTAAGGCACTAGCAGATCCAGCATTGGGGTGCCCCGCCCCCTCCCCGGGAGGTGAAAAAAATGTTATGAGAGGTAAAGCTAACCATTTATTCGACATATTCTCCGCTTGCCCTCACGTCTTCTACTGGTACACTGGAGTACACTGGAGTATGGAAACTTTTTTTGGAGGGGAGGAGCCATTATACAGTCGAACGTAACGTCTTAATATTTCAAACTCCCATATTGCCTGAAAGGCAGGGAAAGGTTTAAATAAATAAATAAAATAGTAAGTTTCCTTTAGCTCATTGCCAAAAATTTAAGTTCTCTGCAAGTACTGAAGTTGAGCAGCGTGATATAATTCAGCAATATGAAGAGTTTTTAACAAGAGAAAGATGATGTAAGGAACTAAGGAAAATCTTGTGGATACAATTTCTCACACTTGTTTTTCTCCTAAGATATAATCACTTGGATGTCTACTTTTTAGAGTTTCCAAAGCCTATTTTAATTGGTGTACATATGATCATCAAAACAGTTAGAAAATAGTTGGTTAAATGTTTGAGACGTTGACCGAGATAGATTAAGGTGTGTGATGTAAGTCTGTTCCTTAATTCCTATGAACTTGCTCTTTCTACGGCGCCTTCAAAGAAACGAACGTGAGAATTAGAAGCATCAAGGTTGACGGAATAGATGATGCTCCAGCAAGTCTTAAAAGCACGGGGGAGGACATAAACACAAGACCATTTCTATCAGTATTAAGCTACAAAGGATATCAACTAAAATCTAGACAAATAAATTGATCCCGATCAATAGGAAGAAGTATATAGATGTTGATATAACAAGACATTCATCATGACTGAAGGCTCCAGCAGTCAGAACGCGATCTGTGATCCTTTTGTCTTTATCGCTATGGATGGTCGCAATCTATGCGACAGTGGTAATGGAATAGAAAGTAACATAACTATATCTTAAAATCACTTCAGACAGCTTTATCATATCGTCAAGACATATCGAGGTCTGCGTGCAGGAGCCTTATAGATTGATAGGTAAGCAACGATCAGCTGAACCAGAGGATTGGAAGTTAACATCTAAGCCAACTACTATCATTGCTTCTATATATAAGTACATATATCAGAGATAGAATTCATGGTTAAGCTAGAAACTTAAGGATTATTTTGAGCTCAGATAAACGGTGATACTTGTTTACCCAACAGTTGCACGGATAACTATAATCGTCTACCGTTCAATCAAGGTACTGATACTATAAATAATCTAGATAGAAATAACGGAAAACTCGTTTTAATTCAAGAAGAATTGAAAGTATTTTCAAAAGTAACCTAACACTCTGGTTATCGCGTCATAGTAAAGAAGTATTGAAAACGTCAACAATCATGGAATTAAATTGAAAAAGACTATCTGGAATCTCTTATCAAACATTTTATAGGAGTGATAAGCACTAACGGATCGAGGATTTAATTTTGGTTAGGGCTTCAGCCCGAAAGCTTTATTTTTTTTACAATATTACGATAATTACTATGGAAGAAAAAAGAAAGAAACTACCTACCTATATTAAATACTGTTCAAATGATTCTTGAAGTTCTATTGAATGCAATTAGATGAACAATAATACTTTCAGAGATATTTTTTTTATACGAGTTTCGTAAAACATTTTTATAGGGAGAGGGTGATTCAGACCGAAAACTCTCCTCCCCCCCCTCGTTGTCATAAGTGAAATTCATAACATGAAGGGTTCGCGATAACCAATGGCATCAAGAAAATACTCAAAAAAAAAAAATGAAAAAATTACGAAACAATGGATAAAATGGAGAATAATTATTTGATATGATTATCTGGTTTAATTCACTATTAGTAATATCTTCTCTTTCCTTCCAAATGTCAAAAGATTAGCTAGTTGACATGTATATTAAGAATTTGTTTGTATATTATAATCCAAATCCACCAATGATAATAATTTTTTATTTAATCTTATAAATGTAAGTTTATTATACAATAGACAAGATATTTTAACTATTAATTTTAGGATATTTTCATATATTTTGAGCCATTATTATAGAAACATAAATAAATACATATGCTGGAAGAGTTTGTGTCATTAAGCTGACAACACTGAAGTATATGATTTTGGACGTTTTCTTTCACACTAGTCAGTGTTGAACGGAGTTCTGTTCAGGGTTAGTTGTTTTATAGGTTAACACAATGCCGATTAAAGGTTAAGACGTATTTTTTTTTTAATTTAATTTGTGCCATATAATTCAATGTTCTTTTGTACTATAATAATCATTTTCATTTTTTAGATATTGCATCTGTAACTGGGGATGCTATGCTCATAGTAGAACAGAAAGGTATATCCTTTTATTATAATGCCAATATTTGTTTAAAATATTCTTATGATTATTTTATTCTGCTTTAACTCATGAGTCATTTCTATCACTATTGTTTTTCTATAACCCATGGTCATATTTTTCCCTAATCATTGAAAAGGTTATAGTATTTCTTCATATTACTTATACTTTCTTTACTCCCTACTACTATTGATAAAGAAAGACACCGTTTACTAGACTGAAAATAAGATAATTGTTTAATTTTAACCTCGTCTACTTTAAGATTAGATATTTTATTTACCCTGCGCCCAATAAACTTTTGGGCATCACCCAAGAAAATCCATTAGTTTTCTATGATTTTAATTTATCAGTAGATGACCAGTTTATATGTATATATATCATCAAAAACCAAAAATGGATTTGAACATATTGGAAGTCTTTTCTTATCTAATAGTTTTTGTTTCTTCTCTCATTATTTTGGAGTTCATCTCAGTTATGTAGCAATATTGAGTGTAATGTGCTATCACATGTATATATAGCACCCTAATTTGCTAAACATATTTGAAATTAAAATTAAACTAACCAGGACTTTCAACCAATGAAAATAAGGAAAATGACTTTAGTCAGATAAAACTATTTTTTACTGCAATTGAAATTATACATTCTGAATTTATAGAAAACATTGTATGTATATGTTATTTTCCACGGTTTCTAGATCATTTTAGATGTGACCCAATGGTTTTTATTATAATATAAATAATAATAGCCTTTTATAATGTGATATACATGCAATGTAAACATATAATCAAATAAAATTCAATATTTTTATTATAAATGATCTATTAATAATATATATATATATTTTTTCACTTCATGTCTGCATAGGTCTTCCCAAAAAGGGATTAATAGTCTAATCTTCATAAGTGACTATTACTACTGGGAAAAGGGGTTATAATAGTATAGGCTCTTTATTAGTAATGTACAAAGCCTATTCAGTTGAAAAACTATGTCATATTAACATTGATATTTGCAATCATCCGTTAACTAATCCTCTGGATAACTGAAAAAATTGAGTTTGCTTTCCATTTTAATAAAAGTACCTTTACTTTGTTGGAGGGATTCATGTAGTTGAATAAAAATTATATTAAAGCAGCAAATGATATGCTTAGCCTTAATTTTTATTTTTTATTTTTAAGATGGAAAAGACAAAATACCTAGCAGCCTAAAAAAGGATAAATTAATATTACCAATAAATACTACATTACAAGGTATGTATGCGTTATGGGTACATTATTTACTTATATTATTTTTTTAATTTACTCTTAAATATCTCATTTATATGCTAATGATAATTCATTGTTTTATTTTATATTGTAAAAGCAAATATTTCTGAAATATAATTTAGCCGATCCATGGAGGTTCTATATGAGAATATTTTCACAATACCTTTGTACAAAACTACTTATCTTATGAAATCATATTTGATGGTCAGTCAAATGTTAATCAATGAAACTTAAATTTTTCTCTATAAATTTTACATCAAAATTCTTAAGTATAGTAAGACGTAGTATGTTCTGACATATTCTATGACTACATAAGCTCCGTCTTAAAGCAAATGGTCTTAGTAGGGAATAAAGAAGCAATTTAGAACCATCGTATCAAAATAGATCCATTTCAAGGACCAAATTTATCATTTTTATTTCCCGAATTTTTTTTAATTCTTCTTACAGCTTATATGCTTTATTAACCTCTCAAGACTGCTTGGATATTCCACTTATCATATGTTGCCTTTTTTTATTCTTATTCTCCAAAATCAATAATTGGTCACAGCATTTTTGAGTTAAATTTTCAGTAGCACTAGCAATGTAATGATTTTGTTAACAACTTGTGCCTCTTTCTATATCACTTTTTAATGCAATTATTATATTATAAATTTCAATAATAATTAACTATGATATGCAAGTTTTTAGATATGACTATCTCCATTTTGTTATTATTGTTATGACTTAAAATTTGAAGTAATTATTGATACTCTTTAACAAGTATTTTCATCAAATGATGGGTACAGTTTTGTTTATTTTATTCTCATATCTCAAAGGGGATTTGCAGTTCTTAGATTATAGAGATTGGTCAGTTCAAGATAACAGATCAATAATACTAATTAAGAGTTCCACTATAATTATATTATAATACTATGCATACTAGATAAGAGATCAGTAAAACTATATGGGATCATGTTTCAAGTATTATATGTTCAAGTCTATGTATTATTTTCAGATGTGAACACAGGAGAAATAACCATTAAGGAAGAACCAGAGGATGAAGAACCATCACGCACATTAGGTATTAATGAGCGTAGTACTAATTGTTAATTTTTATTTGGTTAAAGGGTGAGTGTAAGCTTATGCATGTACTCTAGCTGGAGCAAGTTTTCTGTTGATCACTTATCTATTCTTTGTGAAGTTAGGAAGTCTTAATTGCTTGAATTTGGAAGTTGACCAACACCATTTTCCACTCCAGTAATCTGGAGTACTTATTTATATAATTTCCATGGCCACTGTGTCCAGTAATGATTATTTCTTAAAATGCCTGATATATTAAAAGATAATAACGTCGGTTTATTGCAAAAAGTCAAGTGACTTCAGAATCATAAATCACTAAGAACTTTGATTTATTTTATCTTCGTGAAATCAAAACATTGTACACTTTTTGTAACTATATTTGATACATAAAAGGGTTTGTCATTTCGGTGCACATACTATGCTTTTGCAATTGATAAATAAAGCCGAAATTCTTAAAAACATTCTTAGATCAGCTTCATCAAAAATGTTCCTCCTAACTTTTTGCAATTAACCGACGATAAGTCTTTTAAGGCTACATTTAATCATATGACAGTAATTTTATCCAAACTGAGCTGAAGTATTGTTAAACATAACCAAAGTATTATTTTATTTTGTCTCGTATATTTTGAAAGTCGAAGTATTTCGTATATTTTGAAAGTCGAACCCATACTAAAGTTGTTTCTTACATATTGGTAAATCAAAGAAGTACTGCTTCAAAGGGGTCCAGCATTCTTAGAAGATTAGAAATTATAGTTTTTAATATCATGAAATTAACTTTATCTAATGTTCTATCTCACCTTTTTTAGTTATTATTTTTTTTTTTGTGTTAAATTTCTGCCATGAATTGTGCGCCTTAATTACCACAGTGCCTGTATTACTTACTTGTTGCAGAATTACAATATTTAGGTTGAGTTAAGGAAAGTCTCACTTAATTGTATGTTTTTTATATTGTTAATTGATTTGCATAATTATTAGATTATTTTCTTGAGAACAATCAAATGGAGGGAGCTAGGCATAGAATTGTCTAAACTTTAAATTGGAACCTGACAACACTCTACCTGTGAAGTGAACTAGAGACGAAAAGTGCCTTGAATTTAGCAGTTCACAACCTTGAAAATAATAGTTTTTTTTTTCAATTGCATCAGTACGGACACCATGTTATTTCAAAAAGATTCTGATAGATGAAGCCTTTGATTATTTTTTTTTTCTAACTCTGTTCAGGCGGGAAGTGTTTAAATTTGTATATGACCACTATAGAAGAAATATTGACTGGCCCAGATAGAAATTTTTAAACGTTTTGACAGTTGAATTCTTTCGTTAATAATCCAATTACAGTTTTTGCTCTCATTAGAATGTCTTATAAAACTGTTCGATGTTTCACTTTATTCACTTTTTGTAATACATTGAAAATTTGTTTAGAAGTTATATCTTTTTTTTTTAATTTTTTATAGATGATAACGCTGTAGTCACCATAAAAAGCGAGCCAGATGAATTTGAATCAGGTGATAATTCTTCACTTCAAAGGTCTAAAAGTAAGATCATATTGCTTTAATAATATTCATATCAAATTATTTAACTTGTTATTAGTTAATATTTGCTAACTTAAATTATTTTATTTTTTAATTGTTTAAGACAATATATTAAATATAATTGACTTACATATAGATAGTGGAACAAGAAAACATAAGCCTAAACAACTTCTATGTCTATTAGTAACCATAATTGGAATTCTACATCTCTTTTTATTTTTATAATATTTGGTCCTTTCGTCTAATCTTCTCTGCAAGTTATCTAGGTTTTCCTAGATTCTACAAAATCTGGTGAAATAGATGTTCAAATTTTTATTATGCCATTGTCGATATTATAGATAACATATTTATGGTGGAAGTATAATTTTATGTTCTATTGTTTAGTTGATATATTTATTAACATCTTGCAAGTTTTGTAAGAAATTTGATTGTACATTATATGAAGTTGTATGGTGAGCTGTGTAATCATTGATTTATGTCCCATTTTTTGTGTGATTTTTAATCGTTATAAGACATTGGCCAAAACCAAGTTCTCTTTAAAGGCATGATCTTATCTAAGTGTAACTTGCCTTGAGTCTTAAAATAATAAATGCATTTTCTCTCTCTCTCTCTCTCTCTCTCTCTCTCTATATATATATATATATATATATATATATATATATATATATATATATATATATATATATGTAATATGGTCTTTCAACTATTGTTTTTATTTTTATATCAATCTTCAGCCAAACAGAAAATATATTATTACAGAATTTATGTAATTCAAAAACTAAACTCTCTCTGTTATAACAATAATGCTAAAGATTTCACATATTACTTACTCCTTTTACTACACCATACAAACTTCAGCAATTTGAGATATGCATTTTTATATAGATGCTGAGCCATTTGCCATCTTCACTTACGTTACTTAAAAATTCGGTACTTCAGGTTTGAGATTCTTTTCAAGTTTCTCATCCGTTGGATGCTCTAGTTTCTAGATCCAAAAGATGTGCATCATCAATAGAAATGTTGTCCAGTTTATTTTTAGAAAGATGCTGCGTTAGCTGGTTCCTTAGGTTTTCTTCACACTTTATATTCTTATGAAAATATGTGTAAAAATAGATATATTTATAGAATATTGTATTTTAAAGAAAACATTACATTATCTTCATTGATTCCGAATGGTCCATTTGATTTTAAATTATTTCTCTAAAAATTCTCCTTGTAATATGGTAGTTTTCCCTCAGACCATCTGGACTGGAATATAATTATCAGGTGTGTAATCCTTTGCCACTATACTGTTCTAAGTGTTTTTAGGTCTTGTTTCATTACATACTTTATCTAACGTACAACTTTCTTCAGTTTCATTTATGTAATCTGGATTATTGTAAATAGTAGGAGGAGCCCTAAACATCTATTATTGTTATGGATCCATGTTCATCTGTATGAAAGACAAACTGTGGAACATTCAAACAGTAAAGGACTATCAATTCAAATAAAACAAGCAAACGAAAGAGCAAATGCTGATAAATCATTTATTTACTTTCAAGCAACACTAAGGATACTATTTCGCTGGAACTGCCAATGGCAGATACAGCTATTTCATACTGCCAACCTCTAATGCTTGTCTATTTCACTGAAACTGCTCACTGTCGTGGCTAAACCTTCTCAATGTAGCGTCCTAGTTTGATATCATTTTAAATAAAAATGTAATCCTTAAATTTCATGGTTTTTATTTATATCAGAAGGATAACAATATATTTGATGGTGGAGTTTTGATATTATTTAATTAATACATGCCATTTTTTTTGGTAATTAATTTGAATAACAAGGTTAAGTCCTGTCTGTACTATGAAATGTTAACAATTATCCACATATTAATTCCCACCTTCTACAAAATGATTGTTTCTTATAATATTTTGAATATAAAATATAGGTATTCATGGTATTAATAAGATGGTAATGCATTATTTTAAGAACTGGGGATTTATCTCTGATTTTAAGTTTATTACTAATTATCAGTGATAATTACATAATTGATTAGTAATAAATATACATTTGTAATGAAATCACACCAGGCAATATTTTACCGTTTTTAATAAAAATCATAGATAATCAGTAAATCAGCACTTTAATATTGATTTTTCAATGTCTGAATTTATCTGAAGTTAATTTTTGGATTACTTAATTTATTTAATGTCATTTGGAACTAGGTATATTTGAATTTCTTTGTAAAATATTTTTAGGGGAATAAATAAATAATTCTGTTACTTCAACCTTTAAAAAAATATTTATTATAGCTTTGTTTAGATTTTAAACAATATTTCATTTAATTTTGTCTGACTTTATGAAAAAAAAAAAGGAAATGAAATATATCAAGGTGAATTTTATCAAGAAAACAATGCTGCGATATGATAACATAATCTCTAATCGCCATGCTGCCAACAGCTTCACTGCTCAGAAAGAAGCAGTCTAGATATGATGTCATACTTAGACTGCCGAGCAGTCCAACCAAATAGGTTTCTTTCTATTCCAACTACCAGCATTCACTGCGTTGGGCAGTACCAGTGAAATAGTACCTTAAAGTATTCTAATTTATTTTATGTTTTTCTATAGCAACGTACTAACTTGAATTTTTGTTATAAATTTAATCAAAATGACAGGTGTTTTATCTCCTCTGCTTTTATAGTACCTTGGTCACAATAGACTCTTACGAAGCTTCTCACTTGTATGACGGACCTTTATGTGTACTTTTAAATTAGTTTCTGCTGTTGGTCAAGCCACAATGAGAGGAATATATTAGGCTTTTCATCTATATTATGATCGATCATATGTATTTTTAAGCTAGCAATTTGTGTTGTTTTTATGTAACTATAAGTCCATTGATGAGGGCTTTCACTTGTATGACGGTACTTTATGTGTCTTTTTATAAGACTTTTTCTACAAGTTTAAATAGGTTTTCAGCTATATCAGACTCGTTTCAAACTACTCTATTTGATCTCTTTTTGCAAGTAGTATTAGTCACCTTCATCTGGAAAAATACTTTATCTTGTGTTTCTCATAAATAGACCTGCTGTTATAGATAACTGGTATTCTCTCCTATTTAATATCAATCGTGTAAAAACCATGTCCAGTTTCATAAATTATTTCTTCTGTTATTAAAAAACCTACCTTTATCAATATAAATCTTTCCTGCCCACTGCGCCTCATTCAGTACAGATCTCTACACTCAGATCTCTATTCAGTACACCTTCCAGGTGATGCGAGGTCATCCTTTTTGGAGTCTATGGACAGACAATTTCACTTCCATTTTCTTATGTCTTGCTTAATCCTCTGCCGGGCTCTACATCAAAGCACTTGATTCGATCATTTTTGAGACCATCTGAAGTTGAGGATATGGCGGAGACAGCGATTGGTAAAAACCTGCAACTTCTTGTGTCACTCCATATGAACTACCAAGTTCCGGAGCCATAGAGAAGTACAGACTTACGGTTGATGTATAGAGCCTCAGTTTTGTATGCATGGACGTACTCAAGTTTCTCCAATGGGAGTAGAGCTGTATGAATACAGTATTGGTTTTTTGAATGTATTCTCTGACATTTTTTCTCGAATATCAGGGATTTTCGTCTTCCATATCTGAAGGTTGGGTAATTTTTCTGAAAATTTAAAAGATTTGGTACCTAAAAAATTTCTTTTTTTTTCATTTGAAATCTGCTCCAAAAACTTGTTAAATCTTTGAATCCACCAACAAATCATCCAATGTGCCGTAGACTTTATATTTACATTTAGTTTTTCGTTTTCTCTCTCTCTTTTTCTCTGGATAGCTTGATAATTGATACATTCCATTCAGGGAATTTTATTTTAATGAAATTATTGTCATAATTTTCTTTGTAATTTCAAATATATAGAAATACAAAGAATGTCAATCATAATTATATATTTTTCTTAGGTAATGTTCTTTTTCCTGAATATCATTATCAGCATTAATTTTATTTTTCATGATCTCGATAAAGCTTAATTTTATTTAGTGTTCCATTTTTGCCCAATGAAGAAATATATTATTCATTACTCAACAGGTTTATTGATGTTATGTAAAGGAAATATATAATAAGGAAAAAGGAATAGTATTTAGCATGCCTGTTTATGACTTTCAGTTTTTTTTCTTTAATATTTGAAAATATTATTCTGCTTTCAGGTGTAACTCCTTATAAATGTCATCATTGTGGATTAGAGTGGGATAAATTTAATGATCTCAGAAAACATATCAAATCCAAGCACATTCCAAAGAGGTTAAAGTACAAATGCCACTACTGCTCCTTCAGAGGAAGTTTGCTTATTCATTTAAAAAAACATACGAAAGAGAAGCATGCAGGTGCAGCCTTGCTATGTTGCCCATATTGCTACTACCAGACCTGCGTTCCGTATTGCTTAAGGTACCATGTTATCAACAAGCATCTTAAGGGAAATTGTAAGTGTTTCTCTAATTGGGAATTGTCACTGATTAATAATTCAAAATATTATTATCGGTCATTGTATTTTACATATTTATAATTTATTTATTTTTTAGCTGAACATACAATTGGTGCAGAACATTTATTAAATTTAAAAAATAGATATCACAACGATGCAATTCTCACACATGGTAAATATCACTAAATAATTTTGGAGAATTTTTTATAAATTACTTAGTTATTAATAGGTAGCAGTGAGATAAGAAACATGAGGTAGGTTTAACTTAGTCTGAAAGCCCGTATTATCTTCACCATGATTAGCAACATCTGGCTACAGTGTTAAATTTTTAAACATAAATCAAGTTTTTATTCTCAAAATCCTTTATAATAATTAACGTTTTCATTAATTGATGATAAACGTCATTTTTCTTGTAAATTTTTACCAGGTATCCGGTTTACATATTTCAATTTTATCATCTCTTTTGATCTCTTCCCAAAATAAATAATCATGAAACATTTCTATCGTGTCATTTGATTAGTGTCGAATGATGCCAATACTTTAAACATACAATCTTTGTTGAATTGTCAGAATCGACATGATTGTTGTTTTTCACAAAATTGGTTTTAAGTCTGGTTTGTCTATTTGTTATTTTGAAGAAGGCAGAACGTATTGTAAAAACCAATGAGAAAATTTGTTCCCCAAATTTCCTCTCGATTTTTATGTTTTACCTTTTTGATGAAAGTCGATTGGTTCCATGTCTGTCAGTTTATATATTAGTCTCATTTGATGCCAAAAATTATCCATCGCATTTAGTTGGTTAATGTGTAAGTTGGCTGTTATTGATCCCAATTGATGGCAAACTTGATTCTCCGTGACATCAGTTTGCTGGTGCAGTAAGTTGCTCTTTCTTCAATTGTGTCTGTCAGAAAACAGGTCAAGGATACCTTACCTGTACCATGTTCTTATTCTTAAGAACAAGTTTCTTTTAGTGTTATATTGGTTATAAAACAACCAGGATTATCCTTTTGTGGGATGGGAGTATACTTTATATATTTATGACATCTTTCCTTTTTAAAAATTAAATTACGTTAATTCTTTATTTGTAGGTAATGAAGCTAATAATGAAAATTCTCAAGCTACATTAAAGAGTGAACCTCCAGAAATTGAATCAGGTAATGATTTTTATCATTTCCAGGTTATTCTTTAAATTAAATTAAAATCTAGGATATAATGAAATCATATATTGATTTTAATCCTTATAGATTATTATTTTTTCAGGTAAATTTATAAAACATGAACTCAACATTGTCCTAATACTGTTTGAGATAACGGACGAAGCTCTGCATTAGTTTGATTAATTTACTAAAATTATGAAAGGAATTTCATGAAATATTTTATTCATTCTGGTATATGAATTTGTTGTTCATAATTTTGCAAATGAATTTTAAAAAATAAAAGAATATTTTATTTAAAATAAAAATTTAAATTCTATTATGTGGCCTCTCTTAGCATTATTAGTACAGTTTTACAATTTTTTTTTTATTATAGATGAAAATGTCGGTGTTTCTGTAAAAAGTGAACCTTTAGATTTTCAACTTGACGATGACTTACCGTTTCGAGGTTTTGAAAGTAAGTATTGATTTTCATTTGTTTATTTTTGGATTTATATAATTTGTTAATATCAGAATATAAACCATGAGTTTTTTTATAAAAATGTTCTTGTCTTAAAAAAAATCCATCATTATTTTACTACTGAACAATTCAATATATTACCTTTATCTTCAGAACTATATCATTTAATATATCAACAGCCACACTGAAAAATTAAGTACAATTTAATTACAATGTGCAGTTTTCAGCTTTCCCGATTGGTCTTGGCCTCAAATATATTCATAAAAACTTAATTTTGAACATTACATCCTTGCCTTAAGCACTGCAATAAAAATTGAATAGAAAATCTACTTCATAAAATAAAAAATACACGATTCATTTCGTCTTATAAATATTTTGATGTTTTACAATGTAGATGTTTATATATTCATTTTTTCACTTCTTTACAGAATTAAAATTTCAGTAATTATTATTTTATTTTTATTTTTTTAATATTTACTTATTCTTGTTAATGCTCCATTTTCACCTTCCAAAGTGCTAATTGAAGATCTTGTATAACATCAAGATGACTAGAGGGTTTTAATAAGTGGATATTTCAAAGAAACTTAAGAGTAGTGAAAGTATATATTAGGGGAAATGTTGAATGCAGAAAGTAATGTCGTGTCTGAGCACCTCACTATTTGATCGTCATTTGGCAGCTTATTGTGTACATCTAAGTCATGCAAATGACACTGTAAGGTTATAGTGATTGTTTAGTTACAAATAATCAAATTAATTTTTTGTTTTTGCAATTTTTGGTGAAATTACCAGTCAAATACCAGAAGAGTTACATACTTTGCATGCTGTTTGAGTTTCACCAGGATAGTAATGCAACATTTGCCATGCAACATCCAAATTCATTAGAAGTTTGTAAATGCCAAAGGTGGTATTTTAAGTTCAAATGCGGTAATGTTGATCTTTCTGATTCGTATAGTTCAGGAAGACCAAAAACGGAAAAAATTAATGAATTGGGGGGAGCAAGGTACTTCCTCACTCAGCATACTCCCCTGATGTTGCACCATCGGATTTTCATTAGTTCTGATCGTTTCTTCACTTTCTAAAATGCCATCTCTATATATTTTTATCAAAAACCAATTGATTTTTATCGATTCTGCATTGAAAATGTGCACACTAGATGGCAAAAGGTTTTTGATAATGAGAGTGATTCTGTCATTATTTAAAAATAGAAACTCATGTGAAATTTATTTAGAAAATGACATTACTTTCTGGCCCCTCTAACATTTTGGTCCAAAGATTTTTTTATAATGTTTGCATTCATTGTTATGTTTCAGCTTCTACGCCATATAAGTGTTATCATTGTGGAATAAAGCGAGACAAGTTCAGTGATATAAGGAAACATATCAAGTCGAAGCATATTGTGCAATCATTAAAGCGGCTTTGTCCATACTGTTGCTTCAAAGGTTCCTGTTTGCGTCAGCTAAAAAATCATGTAGAGAAAAACCATCCGAAGGAGAGAACATTGTGGTGCCCATATTGCTATTATCAAACTTCTATACCATTCTGCTTGAGGTTTCATGTTATCAAGAGGCATATCAAAAGAAAATGTGAGTATTAAATACTTAGTTTATCATTAATACAGGAAAATTAATACCAGGCCTCCAATTCCTAGAAAAGTCAGAAAATTAGACACTTTTATAATCTATGGTAACAGTAGCTCACCTTTTCTATCACAATTAGTTTACATTACAGTCCATGGTACAGAACCCTTTTATCAAATTAATTAATGTTTGCCTAAAACTTTGCGAATTGCTTCCATCTTATTGTAACCTACAAATTTTTTATCTACTATAATTTTCTCATTTAATTTAATGCTGTCCTATAAACTCATTAATTACCCATGTGATTTCCACTTAAATCTTAAGATAATTTGATCACAAAATTGAGAAAGAAAGTGGCCTACAAAAATTTTAGACTATTTGGCCTTTATAACTTCATTATTTTTACATGTTGTGGATTAGTCACATAGCCAAATAGCCCAATGTTTTTGTACGTCACCTTCTTTCTCTATTTTGTAATCATTTTATTTTGCCATTCATTATATATATATATATATAACTTACGATTAGACTGAAAGAATGATCGAAAAAAAAGGGGTTTTAGGGCATAGTAACAGTACACAGGTTCGTGAGCAACTGACTTTATTATCTACTTATCCAATATATATAGATACGGTTTGTTTTTATTTACAATGCTTTGTTAATCTTATTAGTAACACAGTTCCTATTATTGTTTATGGCTTATACTCAGCTAACTCCCTCCCTCCAGTTCCTTCGTATGGAGGAACTTATAAATAAAAATAAAAATAAAAAAATAGAACATAAAACACAAACTCAAACACTTTCAGCAGAGCAGAAGAAGAAAAATAAAATAATAATACACTAAGTAGCAGATTCACTTGCTTAACATACTTATACCTAAAAAAAACAAATACAGATATCCTAAAATATAATAACTTAACCTATCTACAATGGATTTTAACAACAACAAAAAAAACATTTTTCACTCTACTTGTAAACGCTATTTAACAGAAATTACTCAATACCGCAAAAACATAAAAAAAAATGGAAAGTACGAAAAGAAAAACTTCCTAGCCCCGAGATGGTCCAGGCTGGGCGCCGCCGTCCGACTCGTTTTCTGGCATAATCTGAGGTACCCGAAGCTCTTCAAGGTGTACCGTACGTGACCGAAACGGGTAATTTACATCCCTGATAGTAAATAGGTTATTCTCCCGTATGGTGATGACTTTATAAGGTCCCTCATACCTCGCGGCTGTTTTAGTGCGAGCGGTGCGTAATCGTCTATACACTATGGTTCCCAGCGCTAACGGGCCCTTTCTATAAACTATGGGTCGGTTATTTGCCTTAGCCACCCGGGTTTGCTTCTCACGAATTAATTTTTCTCGTACCTTCCCCCACATTGTTTGCCGCCTTACTCTTGCCTGATACATGGTAGCTTTAAGGTCGTTATTGTTAGCCGTGATGAGATCTCCTCTATCCCGGCGCCTCTGTCCGAACACTATTTCGACTGGTGATAATCCCGTCGCGGCGTGAATGGTATTATTGTAGGCTATGACAGCGCGTGGCATAGCATCGAATGGATCGAGGTCACGACCTAACTTGAGCAACCGTAAGTGTTCCCCTAAAGTATTGTGGAGCCGTTCCACGGCGCCCCTTCCCTTAATATGATGTGGGGTGTTCAAACGCCAATTGATGCCCAATATCTTGCTCTCATCTCGAATTAGCGAGTTATCGAACTCTCTCCCGCAATCTGAGACGATTTCGTCTGGGACACCGTAAAATGCGCACCATTGCAAGATTCCTTCCCAAACTGCCCCAGGGGTTTTTGACTCAATGGGATAGGCCATAGCAATTTTACTGAACGGGTCTATCGCCGTTACCCATGATTGTCCCTCGTTGGAATAAACGTCTACCTGTATGGATCGCAGGGGTTCTATAGCGGTAGGGGTGATTACTTGTTCGGCTACCGGAGGTTGACGATCGTACTTTGCTCTTTGGCACACCTCGCACTGCGCTACGCAGTCCCGTACGGTACGGCCCATACCTTTCCAATAATAGAGCAATTTCAATGCACGAAGAGTCTCCTCTACTCCCCGGTGATTTGTTTTCCCAGAATGGTGCTCCGCTACTAGATTCCGTTGTGCCGCTGGTTCTGTAATCGTTTCTACCTGACGTAAACACCGCACTAGCGAGTACCCCATTCCTATCCTTTCCTGGCGCCATAACCGCTTCAATTTCTCCGCAATCATCCGATTACCCACATAGACATAGCAATTCCGTCCTGGGTTACTGAATTCCACGAATATACGTTCTAACGCGTTTTCATCTATAGATGCGGGGGTGCGAACTAATATAGTTGACGAACCTTCATACGTGCTCGCCCTGGTTTCTATTCCGGAGTCCTGCTTTGATTTTATAATGATCTGCAGTCTTTTATTGTTAATTATTTCGTCTACTTCAGGCAGTTCCGCGGGTCTGTCCGTCGGTGTAGCAATTTCCTCGGCCTCACTCTGGACTAAGGGAATCTCTGGTCCGCCTTCCGCCCACTCGCGTAGATATCGTAGCGCGAATGGTTCTGTCGGGACCTCCTCGTCCTCGATCGCGTTTACTACTAGGTCTCGTGACAACCAATCGGCGACCGCGTTGTCGACGCCCTTTTTATGTATTACGTGGAAGTCGTAAACCGCTAGACGCTCCTTCCACCGTGATACCCGTGCAGAAGATTCTTTAAGAGTTCCGAGGTGCAATAAAGGCTTATGATCGGTCAGTAACTGAAACCGTCTCCCGTAAACGTATGGTCGGAAGTATTCCACAGCCCATACTACCGCCAAAAGCTCACGCTCGATTGCACTATAGCGTTGTTCTGCTTCATTCAACTTCCGTCCCGCGTATGCTAGTGGTTTCTCGCCACCTTCGAAATTCTGAGAGAGCACGGCCCCGATAGCTACCTCGCTGGCGTCTGTGGTGATTTTGAACATTTTAGCGAAATCGGGGAAAGCTAGTAGTGGCCGAGTGGTCAAAATCTCCCGGCATTTCTTAATGCACGCTAGCTGGTCTGGACCTAATTGAAACCGTCTCCCTTTTTTCAATGTTTCGGTCAATGGATGCGTGAGTTCCGCTATCCCGGGTATAAACTTGCGATAGTAATTTATCATACCCAAAAATCGCCTAACCCCACGGGCGTTCTTAGGTAAGGGTGCTTCCAGGATGGCCTTTACCCGCTGCGGGTCCGGCTGTACCCCGTTCCGTGAGACCACGTGTCCTAGAAACTTGATTTCTCGTAACCCAAATTGAGATTTTTCTCGAGATAACTTTAGGCCGAATTCGCGCACCCTGTCAAAAACGCGTTTGAGATGTTGCACGTGGTCCTCCTCAGTTCCACTAAAAACGATGAGGTCATCCATATAGACCTGTGAGTAAGATTCGCCCAGTCCTCGCTGTAGTTCGTCCATAAGGCGTTGGAAAGTCAGTGGGGCCCCTTTCAGCCCGAACGGCATTCGAACGAATTCGAAGTGTCCCCTTTCCCACGAAAAGGCCGTCTTACCGATATCCTCCTCGGCCATCCGGACCTGGTGATACCCGCTCTTTAAGTCCAGCGTGCTAAAAATAGTCGCCCCTGACAGTCGATCAAGAATATCCTCGACCCGAGGAAGAGGATACCGCTCGTCCTCAGTCGCCTCGTTCAGTTTCCTGTAATCAACTACGACTCGATACTGTTTCGCGTTGCCGCCCTGCTTCTTTTCTACCACCCACAGAGGGCTATTAAAGGGGGAATTACTCTGTCTAATAATGCCCTGCTTAAGAAGTTCCGCCAATTGTTCTCCGATAATCTCTCTCATGGCTTGCGGGTAACGCCGATTTTTAACGTAAACTGCGGCTTTCGACTTCAGATTTATTCTATGAACCGTTCGACCCGTGGTTGGTAGGTACTCGTTTTCGTGGTAGAATAAATCCTCGTTTTGCGCGACTAAGTTCGCCAGCGAGTCTTCGATGCAATCCACGGCCCCGACTTCCATGAGTCCTCTACTTCCTATCATCTTTACCTCGTAGTATCGTTCCCCTATTCTATACCGCCATGTTTCGTCCCTATTCTTAATTTTAAACCCAACGTGATTTAAAATGTCACACCCGACTATCAGATCCTGACCCTGCATCAACTGCGAAATGATGTGTATCGTGATCCGCGAGTCACGTCCCGTGAGTTCCTTGAGGTCAAAAAGTGTCTCCCCCAGCGTCTGACCCCTGCCATGAATCGTTGACACCGCACAGTCGCATCGTTCCCGTTTCGCCCAGATTCCCAGTTTCTCCGCCGCCCCTATATTGATCAAGGAATTCGTACTCCCCGTGTCAATGAGAAATTTGATGCCGGATTCTCTCAGTCTCGCCACGGGCAACCTTGTCCGCTGTCCTGTATTCGCGCTGTTGTTAATAATTAAACCCCCCGGTCGGTTGCCCCACCCGTTGTCGCGTCCTCAGTCCGAGCGCGCGCGTCCTACCGCTACCTCCGTTCCTGACGGTCCCCCCCTCCAGGGATTCCCTCCACTCACCTCTTGCCTCCTCGTAGTCGGACCGCTGCGCCCCGACCGGATGCTTTCGTCCTCCGAAGATTCTCCGCTGGTGTAGCGTCCCCCGCCTCTCCTGCCAGTCCGTCTTCCGCTCCAGTCCTGGTTGTTGATCTCCATGGGCTCGTGCTGTGGTTCCCTCCTGTTCGGTCGGGGGTTGCGCCTTGGACATTCTCTCGCAACGTGCCCCTGCCTGCCGCATTCGTAGCACCTCGTGAGCTTACATTGGGCCGCTACGTGACCCGTTCGATTACATTCGTAGCAACGGCGCCCAGGCTTCCGTCTCCCGTCCTCAAAGCCCTTGCTTGGTCGCTTTTCGAAGCCTCCGTTAGTGTTACTCCTCCTCGTAATACTGCGTTGCCGCCTTCTCGGTGATCTCACTTCCGTCCATTCCGCTTCCGGTTTTTCGAAGCGAGTTTCGTTCCGTTCCCTCGCATCGATCAGGTCGTGGGCGCACTCGATAAACTCGCGGTCTCTGGGCAGTGATCCCGGACGGTCCAAATAATGATTTAGTTGTACCTTAAGCACGCCCCTTAGAAACTCCATCTTCTGGGCTCCCTCCGCCTGGCCGCATGTTTCCACCATCTTCTCCGTCAGTCTATTGTATAACACCAATAGTTTTTCGGCGAACTCGCCTTCCGATTGGCCCTGGGTTCTGCGCTCTTTAAACAGATAAAAAACGTCCTCTTCCGGGGTCCACCTGCCACCGCCGTATAGCTTCTTGAGCCGTATCTTCAGCGTCTCCCAGGAGACCGTCAAATCGCCCTGTACGGCGTTCAAAACCCGCCTCGAGATACGCCCAATCAAAGAGGCTTCCAATATTTTTACGTCAGACTCAAGCAACGTGCCTGACTCCTGTCTGGCGGTAATCAAAGTCTTAATCTGGTCACCGCCTTTGATAAAGTGTTCGAGATCACCTACTACACCTGTGAACGGTTCTAACTGGCTAATTACCTCGTGAATAAATGCCGAGTTCTGCGTCCTTATCTTAAGCAACTCGATCTGCGTGTTTTCGGTCGCTTTCGATAGCTGCGTTTCTAGTTTCTGACGCTCCGCTTCCAACTTCTGTCTCTCCACCGTAGACTGAGCAAGTTGGTACTCCAGCTTTTTCAATTGTTCTTCCATCGTAATTGTCGCGATTAGAAGCTTGTGTGGGTTCGCCTAGTGATTCTTCCGAAATTCGCGATACTATTAACCGCGCGGTAAAATTCGGAATTCCTCCCGGGTTTCGGCACCACTTACGATTAGACTGAAAGAATGATCGAAAAAAAAGGGGTTTTAGGGCATAGTAACAGTACACAGGTTCGTGAGCAACTGACTTTATTATCTACTTATCCAATATATATAGATACGGTTTGTTTTTATTTACAATGCTTTGTTAATCTTATTAGTAACACAGTTCCTATTATTGTTTATGGCTTATACTCAGCTAACTTATATATATATATATATATATATATATATATATATATATATATATATATATATATATATATTACCATTTAATTGTAGATTACAGTTTTCAAAATGTGAAATGGCTATTTATAAAGATCAGTTATATTCTATTAAAACTATTTCAATAACCAAGAATTTTTCAAATAAGAGTTAGAAATGTTAGGAAATTTCAGAAAAAGGATCAGGTAGACACCCAGATATTATATAATTAATAATATAAAAATTATAAAGGAAGGAGATGGTCCGGGGTTGCGGTCATGAATAGGCTAAATAATGGTAAAACTATTTTATTGAAAGCCAACGTTTCGACCCGACTTTGCAGGTCTTCATCAGGGAGGTGTGTTCAGCTCCGAGTTTCGCTTAGAACTCTAACTTCAGTTCTAAGTGAAACTCCTAGCTGAACACACCTCCCTGAAGAAGACCTGCAAAGTCGAGTCGAAACGTTGGCTTTTAATAAAATAGTTTTACCACTATTTTGCCTATCTATGACCGCAACCCTGGATCATCTCCTTTCTTTAATATAAAAATAGTTGTTATTTTTAATATTTACCGCTTGTTCTTTTCTTTTTATATGTTTTAATTTATTTTTATTTTATTTTTTTTTTTTAGCTAAATATAGAGCTGGTGCAAAACTATGTCAAGATTTGAAAAAAATGACTTATAATTATTCCTCGAAATTGTCTAATGGTAAGTGCTTACTCGTCAATTACACCAATGCTTATTCTGTGTTTCAGGTGTTAAGTCTATATTATAAAAGTATTCTAAATTTGAGAGTGGGGGAAGGAGAGGGGAGAATTGTATATACTCTCAGATCTATTCCTGTAGAAGATAGGTTAAAGGAATCAAACTGATCTAAATGTAAAATTCCATTAATTGGAAAATTCTACAAACTTATGTTTTAGTTCCTTATTTATTCTCTATATTGTTTGATTATTATTAATTAATGTTATATGGTTTTATTAGTTAATTTTTTTTCAGGAGTTGGTGCTAATTCAAAGAAGAATTGTGTTATTCCTAAAGCTTCCGTGTTACATGGTAATTTTTTTTAATTTCTTTTTTTTTTTATTCATTATTCTTGTTAAAATTTTAATGAAGTACTTTCTAATTTAGGCATCCAGCTGTACGAGTGTTTTTATTGCCATAAGAGCTGGCAAGATCTTGATGTGCTGAGGTCTCACATTGACCTTATCCACATAAAACCTTGTGGTCAAAAAAGGAAACTAATATGGAAAGATCGGCCTAATAAATGTCCCCATTGCAACTACAGAACAGCACAAGAAGACTATTTGAAGCAACACATCAACGCTAAGCATACAAAAGCTGAGGTGTATTCATGTCCCTACTGCCCATACATCGCTTATATGAAGAACTCCCTCACCTACCATTTAAAAGTCAAACACACGAACACAAACGAAAAACTTTGCTGCCCACATTGTGATTTCACTGCCTTTACCAGCAGCATTTTAAAATATCACATAATTGGTGAGCATACTAAAGACAAACACCTTTCTTGCCCTCATTGCGATTACAAATCTTTCAGACCTTACCTATTAAGATTTCACTTGTTAAAACATACCAAAGAAAAAAATTACCCGTGTCGAGAGTGTAATTACAAGGCATCCCGTCTCGAGGTATTAAAACATCATGTTAAATCTAAACACAATCCTGAAAAATTTAAGTGTCAATTTTGTGTTTTTAAATGTCCTCAATATTCCCAACTGAAGATACACCTTCATCTAGATCACCGGGATGAACTTATGCATAAGTGCCCACAATGTGATTACAAAGCTGCTAGGGCTTATACCTTAAGGTGTCACTTGCAACTGAAGCATAATAGTGAAAAGAATTTTTCATGCAATCTGTGTAGTTACAAAACATCGTTGGATACTAAATTAAAACTCCACATGGATATCAAGCATTGTGCGGAGAAGATGCTGAAGTGTCCCCATTGCAGTTATGAAGTAGCTCAAGCTTTCTCATTAAAGAATCATATTAAAATCAAACACGAACGTGACAAACCACACAAATGCCCAAACTGTGATTATAGTTGTGCATCTGCTTCTTACCTGCTTTCACATATTAGAGTAAAGCATACGAAAGAGAAGATTTTCAAGTGTGAGTATTGTGATTATACTTCGGGGTCCAACAGTAGTCTAAAATATCATGTAAAATCTAAACACATAAAGGATATTTTCCGGCAGTGCCCCCATTGTGAATACAATGCTCTCACTTCCAGCGCGTACAGTCGCCACATGAAACGAGTGCATTCTAATGAGAAACCGTTTAAGTGCTCGTACTGTGATGCTAAGTATCCTTTTGGTTGGGAATTGAAGCGCCACATTAAAATCCACCATTCGCATACTGATGATGGTATATGACCACCATCAGTACCCTCTTCAATGTAAATAATCCTATTTCTCTAGTCAATATTCGTTATTTGAAGGCAAACTATTCTTTTTTATTCGAAAGTCTTATCGATAATCTTTAATTTATGATCAATTTATATATATATATATATATATAGATATATATATATATATATATATATATAATATATATATATGATAGTTATTTATTAATTTACTTTCTAGATTTTTTTTTTTTTTTTAAATTAGTTATGAGAAAATACTGTTGATTTCAGGACAAAAAAATTTTTAAAATAAATTTACTTGTCATTATTAAGTGAGTTATTTAATTTATAAATTGGAAATATTTCTAAAATATCATCGTTAATATTTTTAACATTAACATGACATTAGATTAAAAAAAATTATGGACTTATTTAATTAATTTATTCACTCTTGTTGAAACATTTAAAAATAAATGATTCAATTAATTTTGAATTGATATCGCTAATAAAATAAACAGTCCATATGTTAAATAAAAAGTAACTAATAAAGAAAACAAAGTTAACCTGTTAACTTATTAAAGTTTTTTTTTTATAGTACCACATGTATTTCTTATTTAATTTTTAAAAAAATTTGAGAGAAATTAAAAAATGAAGTTTGTTCAACAGACTTGCCTTGTGAGCTATAAAAACAATTAGACAATAAAGTAAATTATTTTTAGGTTAGGTTATACTCCTCTACTCCCTGGGTTAATTCTCATTTTAAATTTAACTGAAGACCTATTCCATCTAAATGACTGTTTATCTTAGATATATAAATCGTGGCTAGACTAATTTAGAAAAACATATACCTTTTCTTTTTTTTTTTCATTGCAGACCTTTTAGATCTTTTGCTATATTAATCAGCCTTCTCCACCCCTGAATATCTTTGGATGTTTCTCTAGTCACAGCACAAAGCAGCCACTGAAGAAATTTGTGTCAAAGAAGGAGAGTCAGTTATCCATTTAAATACTGCCACACTTTGGTTCAGGTGTTTCAACAATGAAAATATGAGCCTTGCAGATGCACATTCTTCTTAGATTTGTGGATCCACATGCAACTGCTCGTGATTTATTGGCCGTAATAGGGGATACTTATGCCATAGTGGCTCGTCAGCTTAAAAACCTGGACTGTAAGGTCTGACCCACATGACTTGACAGAGGCCCAATCCTATTAAATCGTTTTCATTTGATCCCGGAAAAATGATCAAAAGGGATCAGTAAACGTTTTGTTTCATCCTATGAATAGCCCAGGTATTGCACCATCAGATTTTGGTTGATATTACACCATCATCTTTGTTAATTCGGTCTATCTAACTGGTTTTTGGACCTTAATTTTGAGGCATTCATTGTGATGTAGAGCCTTCCAGATGGATTGCTCCAAGCTACGTGCTCCGTCCATCTTAACCTCTTTGTCTTCACATCATGAGATATTGATTGACCAGTATTTGTAAGCAGCTCTTAATTGATATTTTTCCTATATGAATTATAGTACTCAGATCTCAAATCGCTCTAATTATCGTGTAGAGAATTTTTTTCTCAAATCTTTTAATACTTCTTTCTAGGTTGCTTGTTAGTGACAAGGTTCGCAGCCATATATCAGAACTGATCATAGCATCATAGTAATTAGTTATGATACCCATTATAAAAATGATAAAATTTTACTGAGATTTTAAGTGTCATCTCAATATTTGTCTCAGCATAATACATAATATATAAACTTGAATAGGCATATTGTGATAATTTTATGTATTTATTTATTTATTTTTACAACAATTATTAGTTATGTATTTATCTATAAAAAAAAAAGAACAATTGAATTTTCATAAAAAGACTGATTAGTATAAAATTTCATTTTGTGATTTAAAAAAAAAAAATTCTAAGTTTTTACAATTGATATTATTTTTGAGTGATATCTCTTTTTACAGCGGTCAAACCGTTGAATTAAGACTGACAGTTTATATTCTAATCGCAAAACAACTTGTTGCAATATTATCTTGATTTAAATTTGTGTTATTTCAGAATTATTTTCAAATAAAAATAATTTAAATTTACTGCCCTTCTGAGCCTAAAAGAATATTTCTTTCACTCTCTCTTTTCTATTTTAGAAAACATTTTTCTTTTTTATATGAGGAGTTAGTCGAGGGTGCGGTCAAATAAATAAAAAAAATTAAAATATACAAATTATTTTAATTTTTGCCGACGTTTTGACCCACTTTGCAGGTCGTCTTCAGGGCTACAAAAGATACAAAACATGTTGAAAATAAAACATAAATATAAGTATATATAAAATACGAAGAAGTTGTCAGATACAGAAATAAAAGATGGTATCAGAGATATAGTGGGTGACAATGTAGTTAAATATTAAGAATTATATATGTAGAAGATACAAATAAATGGAAAATAAGTAGGAATAAAAATAAAAATAAAGGAGAATATAGCATATAAGGAGAATATTAGAATATAAGATAGAGAATATTATTTTTATTTTTATTCCTACTTATTTTCCATTTATTTGTATCTTCTACATATATAATTCTTAATATTTAACTACATTGTCACCCACTATATCTCTGATACCATCTTTTATTTCTGTATCTGACAACTTCTTTGTATTTTATATATACTTATATTTATTTTTTATTTTCAACATGTTTTGTATCTTTTGTAGCCCTGAAGACGACCTGCAAAGTGGGTCGAAACGTCAGCAAAAATTAAAATAATTAATATATTTTAATTTTTTTTATTTATTTGACCGCACCCTCGACTAACTCCTCATATTATATCAACAGCCAACCATCTCTACATCATCTTTCTTTTTTATAGTTACATTTTTGTCAGCTACCTATATGACTTTATTCCTCTGCAAGATTATATCTTATTTTCAAATAACAGTCAATGAAAAGAAAATAGAAATTTATAACTGTCCTTCCAGTCCTAATGTTGTTTTTTTTTTTAATAAATGGTTTCAGCTGTATTTATTCCACCATTTTTATTTTTTTACACTGGCACCTTTTCAGCCAAGCCGCTGCCATATGTAAACTTTATTAGCAATTAGTCTAATACAAAAAGTATATGTAACATAATATGATGATGACATGAATCATCTCTTAAACTCCTTATCATCATGATGCTAATAATAATAATAATAATGTTAAATAAAATACATATAAAAGTTTATTGTAGGTAATTACGTGACTTAATTTCTATGCAAGGACAGTAACATAAAGAGGTTTTTTTTTTTTTCCTGTAACTATCAGATCTTTTTGAGATGTATTTTTTTTTTTCATAAGATGCCAGTTTAGTTTAGCTTAATTTGATATTTAAGTTAGCTTATAAGGTATTCACAATGCACAGATATGTGATAAAATTTTTGATTAATTTAATTAGATATTAAATAAATAATATTAATTGTAAAATTAAAAATAAATTAGTTTCTGGATAATGATTTCATTAATCTTACCTATCAAATAGAGTTATTGATAAAAAAACAAAACTGAAAAGGGTACGTAGTTTCACTATCATAATATAACAAAACATTTATTTTTATTATATTATATTAGGTTGCTAATTCTAAGTTTCCTTGTCAGTGCTCACTGAGATTTACTAGAGAAGAACCAAGTCAAAATGAGGAGTTTATAAAAAACTGCTTCTTGGTTAAACAATAGAGTATTAAAGACTATGACTATTGCAGAACTTGTAGAAAAATATTTGATTGAGGAGATAAAAGAGACAAAGAAATCATGGACGAAACTAGTATCTAAGATGGAAGAAAATGCAAAAAAAACAAAACAATAAGCTGTTTGATGCGTGCTCAAAAGTTTCAGAAAGGCAATACTAACCTATTGAAAATAAAGAGTTTAACATCCTCAACCAAAAATAAAAAATTTTCTCGATTGCAATACTTACACTTACTATATATTACATATATACGTAAGTGAAAGTAAAAATATTTAAAAATCGCGATATCTCTACTAATAGTGCTTCGATTTCGATGAAACTTCTTTTGTTTTTTAGGCAATTTAAATACCTTTGAAACATCTTATCACAACATTCCCAAAAAAGTGTATACTTTTTGAGTTATTCGGAATTTAATTTTACCATCTCTCGTAACTTTTTTTCAGCTTCTTTTCGCTGATGAATGTTATATAGATAAATTTGAAGGGTGTCGAGAAAATGACTTTAGCGAAGTTTCAATGAAATCGGTACATTCGTTTAGGCGCTACAGTCTATAGCTACGTTTTTCTGCATTTTTATTTTTTTTTCTCCTTTATTAACTTATCAAATTCTTTCAAAAGTTATATTTAGCATTTTTTTCGTAACTCTGAATAATGCGAAATGATGATCTTTTTAAAATAAACCATATTAAAGGTACTTTAGAGGAAGACGTATATGAACATTGGGCATTTAAGCCCTGTAAAGTGACATAGATGAGAATAAGACCTAATTGGTATTAAAGAATACTTAATTATACAATCATACACCGATTTTAATAAAAATCGTTAAAGCCGTTTTTGAGAAAACTGAAAATGTGTTTCAGCGTTGATATAAAGTGGCACTTCCGGTTAGCCGATTTAAAGGAAAAAGTTGCCGTCACAACTATGGCATATACCTATCTTAAATACGTGATATCAGTTTCATAGGACTTTTCGTTTTTGAGCTAGACTGCTAACATACAAACACACAGACCATTTGTCGGGACTTGGTCATTTCGACTCAGGGTACCTCAAAACATATAAATCCGTCGAAAACTCAGATTCAAAAATTTTCTCGATCGCAATACTTACACTTACTATATATTACATATATACGTAAGTGAATATAAAAAAATAACGGAGAGATGGAAAAAATACTGGTACTTGTCTACTACTACTAATTAAGGTACTATTTAGCTGGCGCGGCCCACGACAGCGACCGCAATTCCACGCTGCCAACCGCTGTGGAAATGTTGTTCATAACGAGAAGGAATATCAGTATTTCGATGAGATGCTCATCATCAAGTCTCTTCTTGGACATTGTTTGCTTTCGTCTAGATGATCAACCAAAAAAGAACAAAAGGCTGGAAACGCCGTGCTAACAACAATAGTCCCTCTGATATTAGATATTATTAGTTTGAAAAGTAATAGTAATTATCACATAATTGATTAGTAACAAATATCATATGTTTATAATTAAATCACAGCGGACGATGTTTTATCAATAGCAATCAGTAAATCACCACTTTAATTAAAAAATACAAATCGATTTTTCAATGGGTGGATTTTAGTATTTACCTGACGTTAAAATATGTTGGATTCTTTAATTTACTTAATATCGTTTGGATTTAGGTATATTTGTATTTCTCTGTAAAATATTGTTGGTAGAATAAATAAATAAATAATCTTGTTACTTCAACCTTAAAAAATAATTTACTATTGCATTGTTTAAGTTTTAAACAATATTTCTTATAATTTTGTCAGACATGACTGTTATCATCAAAATAATGCTCTGTTATGACAACATAACCTACAACCGCCAACAGCTCCACTGCTTCAGGAGCAGCTTAGATATGACGTCATACCTAGACTGCCGAGCAGCCCCTGCGAAATCGGTTCCTTTCTATTCCACTAATGGATGTTTGGGAAGTTTGGCAATAAGCAGATGAGTGTTTTATCCTCAAAATAAACGAGAGAAATGCAACAACTTTATTACAAGGTATTAAAAACAATATAGAAGAGGAAACATTTATTCTGACTGTTGGAAAGGATATAACTGAATCATCAGACAAGTACCAAAATACTTTCAGGATTTGCTGAAGAATGGAAACAAAGATGGTATTGAGAATGAAGATGACCATGTTTGAAGAGATGTTTTCGACAGCTTTAAATTGAGAAAATATGGACAGGAAAATAAGGTCTGTAATGTTAATGGTGAAGAAATGATATATCTTCTGAATCTAATTTGGTAAAAAGTAAAAAACCCTCGCCATTAGAATCTGTCTGTAACAATGTCAGCATTTAAGAACTTGGACTATTTTTTTTTTTTTTTTTTTTTTTTTTTTTTTTTTTTTTTTTTTTATCCCCCTACCTGGCCATTTCTGGCATACGGGGTTCGGTGACAGTAGGGTAGTGCGCATGGGATTTGCGCATGCCACTGCCACCAATAAACTCTTTTTTTTTTTTTTTTTTTTATTACTCTTTATTTATATGTTTATATTTATACATGCTTTTTGGATATATAATTTTAGGGACAATATAGGGTATCTGTGGTGCAGCCCAGCGTGCGGTTGCACGCCTTAGGAAGGGACTGCACCTTCTCTTTCTTCTTCTTCTTCCTCCGTCGCTTCCTCTACGGCTTCCGGCGGGCGTCCTCTCCCAAGGGTGAAGTGCTCCGGGCCCACCGCCTCCTTCCATCTCCTGATGTACTCGGTGAAGTAGGGGTAGAAGTCCTCGCTCATCAGCCTCGGTAGGTCCGCCTCTTCCATCGCATATAGTCCTGTCATCCTTGACAGCCAAGCTCTGTGCCCAGCCATCTTTTCGCAGCTCAGGACTACATGCTCCGCCGTGTCCGGAATCCCACAAGTGGGGCACAAGGGGTTGATGTTCTTCCCATGCTTGTTCAGCTTGGCTCTGAAACCCCCGTGCCTCGTAAGAATCTGAGACGTCCAGTAGTCCGGTCTCACCCACTTCGCCTCCATCCTGGAACTGACGGTGGGGAGAGCTTGGACTACTAGATATGCAGCATATCCTCTTTCTAACAGTGGCGAATCTTGGAATTTTCTCCAGGGGGGCACACCTTTGTACCAGTTGCTTTCCCCCACAGCTTGGCTGAGTTTAGCTGCTCAAAACAAAAGCCCACTTTAAATGATTTTAACTATAACAAACTCTATTTTTATTTAAAGTAAAATTTGTCTAGTTTACAGAGAAGCAATCGTTAATTACTTAAATTAAATAGTTTTTTAGTTATCACATCTATCCGCTAGTACTGGTCACGATAATAATTTTTTTTTATATCACATTAGAAAATTCGTCTTAGAGGATGATTTTTTTTTCTATATTTCTCTTTTCTTTAAATAGCTTTTTTTTGGAACTTTTTTGAAGATTATTTTTTTATTTTTCCACCATCCAGGGAGGGGGGGGGACGGAGAGCGCTCCCTTCAGAAGTCCCTTCAGAATAACAAAAAAGTACAGAAATTAAAATTTTACATCTGGCCAGATAAAAACAAACATAACAAATTAAGATTAAGATAGGTCATTAAAAAAAAGAAAAGAAAAAAATATTGGTTATACATACTATATACAAAATAAAATAAAAAATCTATATAAAAAACTCTTGAAACCATACTAAGATACTTAAAACTATGTACAATGTTAAAATATAAATAAACCCTTTTAGAAAAAATAAAAAATACAGAAAAAATAAATGTATATTCTTCTTAACAGTAAAGTCTGTATTACATTAGATAATAATTTGTTTTTATATTACATTAGAAACATTGTCTATGAGGATGAATTTTTTTAAATATTTCTCTTTTCATTAAACAGCTGCTTTTGGGTCTTTTTAAGATTATTTTCTGCCGTCCAGGGGGAGATGACGGAGGAATCGCCCCCTGGCCGAATTTGTCTATTAGGATAAATTTTCCCTATATTTCTCGTTCTTTAAATAGTTACTTTTTTGAATTTTCGGTCAAGATTATTTTCCACCATCTGAAGGGGTAGGGGGCGCGCCTTTTGGCAGAAATCAATAGTGCTGTTCACAATAATAATTTTTTAAAAATCTCATTAGGAAATTTGTCTTTGAGAATGAATTTTCCCCGCATTTCTCTTTTATTTAAATAGCTGTTTTTTAAAACTGTTTTGGGATTAGCCCTCCGGCTGGATCCGCTAGTGCTTTCTAATGACCTATTATTCTAACTTGTAGCTTAACGCGATCCCATGTTAGAGAGTTGAAAAGGGAAAAATAATGACGAAAGCCATCTGATAACGAGTTTAATTGAAGATTTGGATTAAAATATCTCAATATATTAAGCAAAGCAAAATGTTCAGCATTTCACCCTCTTTGTAATGAGCTATTATTTAAAACTATATCTTAACGCGACGCCTTGTTAGAGAGGCGAAAAGTGAAAAAGATAGCGCCACTGGTATAAGAGCCCTTATACCTAATAAAAACGGAGTTTCAATTATGTATTGGAATAATATTATAATGTTATGAATTATTGCAAGCTTGTTGTTTTAACCCTGTGAACCCCAAAAGAGTCTTTTTGTTACTCAAGGCCTATATTCTTTTTTAATTTATGAGCGTATTATTGATAAAATATTTAAACAGTTTGGGAAACAACTGTCAAAACAAACAGGGCGACTCCATATGATATCATTCATTCATATTATATCAGAGAGGCCTGGCTAGTATTGAGCAGACTTCACAAGTGAGTGCTATGTGGCTCTTCAGTGGATATGAACAGGCGGACAGTATTCAAGTGGAAGCGTTCATGGACCAGCAATACTATAGCCTCTTGCAAGTCACCTCTCTCTACCTCAAGATGGGGCCTAACAACCGTCTCCTCAGTTTTATCCAGTTCACCATATATCTCATCATTCTCGGCTTTCATTGGATGATCGTTGTCAACGCCACCCTCGTCATCTTCGATATCAACATGGTCCTCTTCAGCCAGAGCGTCCATTTCAGCCTATTAATCCAATTAGCCTTTATCTTACCCATTTGCTTCCTGATCAAGCACAAAAATATGTTCATGTTCCACAAGATGCTGTCTTACGAATTCTTCGACTACCAAGATCCTCCCATCATCGGCGAAGACTACCTTCGCTCAGTCATGGCTAAAGAAAACCGTAGAATGTTCTTGATTCCTGTCGGAGTCGGGGCGGCTGCGGGTGCCGTTCTGATCATGGCACCGATCGTCGATCATAACGTTGGGTCTTTCGACTTTAACAGGACTACCAACATCTTTTCCGACAACCTCCCGTACCGCTACGCTCCGTATCCTTTCAACGTCAAGGATGGCTTCGGGTATTACTTCGCCTTGTTGGGACAGATGCTTTGTGGCCTTCTTTTAACTGTCATCATTGGAGGAGGCGGTTTCCTCTTTCTGAAACTTGCGCAAAACATCTGTCTTCAGTTGAAGATCTTACACAGCTCATTGGATAATATTGAGAGCAGAACGGAGCACTTAGTGAAAAAGTTATTTGGAAGTATAGACAGAAACAAGGACTTGTATCACGATAGCCATTACGCTTACTGTTACACAATGTGCCTTCGCAAAAATTACCAGCACCATCAGGTCATTGTGAGGTATTGAAATTTCTTTTTGATAAAAAATATACAATATGAAAAGGGTTCGGAAGTGAGACGGATTGATTTAAAAATCCAAATCTTTATTAAATAATTATTGTTTTATATAAGCCTCTAATTAACTATGAAAGACTCTTTTACTTAAGTATAATAAGGTATATTAAGAACTTATTAATTTGTATTTTTATGGATTATGGGGTTCTACTAAACTATTTGAGTCGTAGGCCTTATTGAGATCTCCACATGGCTTGTAATGAAAAAAAAGAATGTTGTTCTATAAATGACAATTTAGTTGTGAAATTAGGTTTCTAAGAGAAAAAAAAATCTGGTGCGGTGCGCTCATCACACAACTTTCACTTACCACCCTCTTAGCATAAATAAGTATTTTCAGTTAAATGGACGGGTGGATCTACAGGCGCGGGGCTTTCGGGCTGAAGCCTCCTCCCCCCAAAATGGGAAAATATAACCATGTTTTACCGAAAAAAAATATTTAAAAAATTATCTCTCAAAGTATTATTGTTCGTGTAATTACGTTTAAAATGGCTTTAGGAATCACTTAAACACTATTTCATGTAGGCAGTTAGTTTCTTTCTTTTTTTCCAAAGTAATTATCGTTATTTTTATGGAAAAAAAACCTTTTGGGCTGAAGTCCCGCCCAAAAATTAAATCCTGAATCCGCCAGTGGTCAAATGAGAAGTGAAAGTAAAAATTATAGACGCTATAATTATTTATATTTCATTGGGGGTATTTTTATTTTTATAAGTACCCTTATATATGCAAATTCTTAATATTTATATGGGTGTAATCTATACAATTAAATAACACCCAAAATTGCATTAATGAAAACCGCGTATTTATATTTATATAATATAGTCGGAATCCGTATTATATTAAGCTCATGTTACGTATGGAAGCCTGTTATCATCTTTCGGGCGAGTTCGGATGCGGTCAGTTACAACTATTCTCCGTTACGATTTTTTATTTATACTTTAGTTAATTATCAAATTCTTTCATATTTTATATTTAACTAAATTTTATATTAGAAATTAATGTGAAATAGTCCATTGTTTCAAATAAAAATATCTGGTGTGTCCACTCACACGACTTCCCTACCTATTTCAGGATAGTTTTTATATCTTTATGTTCATGAAGAAACAAAAAAAAAATTGAACTAGGTTTAATTTCCTGAAAATCGATCAAAGAAAAGATTTGAGTAAGATTTATTTGATAAACTAAAGCAATGTAAACCGGCTTAAGATAGATCAGTGTAAAAATTTCAATACTCTCTAATATTGCTGATCAAAAACTTTTTGCCATAGCTTAGTATTGTCAAACAATAATTTCTGTTAAAAGTAGGGAAAATATTGAAGATTGTGTGATGCGGGCAACAGATTTGCTTACTTTCACTGTCATCTTTTTTCTCTCATTCATCCCTTTCTGACACCAGGATATGAATCCGTAATCGTATATTGGAAATTGAATAGCTGTAGCTTCGTTAATAGTTGTACAAAAATCTTTTTCGGTCTCAACGGGCTCTGAAACGTATCCGTCGAAAACCGCATATCGGCAATTTGACCTGATTGCAATACTTTCCTTACCTAGTATAGGCAGAAAGTAAACTGTTAAAACATGTGTAGAAAATAGAATAAGCTGTATCATTACTAATACTGTTTCGATTCCGATGATTTTCTTTTGTTTTTTTGGCAATTTAATTACCTTTCAAAAGTTTTATAATAATAATTTTACCGTATAATATACATAAGGAGTTAGGCCCCATAACATTTTTCTTTTATTTATAACTTTTTTTCTGAATTTTCTCGGGAATTTAGTCCACATACGAAAATTGAAAGGACAAATATTAGAACATTATAGGAAAGTTTCATCAAAATCGTTATAGCCGTTTTCGCGCTACAGTCTATAGAAAAACATGTTTTTCATTTATTGAGCATAGAGCATCGAATTTCTGTCACAGACATCAGTAGTCAAAACCCTACAAAATAAAAAAATAAGCAACAAAATCGGTTCAGTAGTTCCCGACACAGACACATCGACCAATGGCTAAAAATGTGTTTTTCGGATTCAGGAGGCTCTGAAACGTATAGATCCGTCAAAAACCGCATATCGGAAATTTGACTCAATTGTAATACTTTCTTTACCTAGTATAGGTAGGAAAGTAAAAATCTTGTTCTATAAATGACAATTTAGTTGTGAAATTAGTTTTCTAAGAGAAAAACAATATGCAATAAATTCATTCCGTGAGTAATACATTGAATTTTATATTTTTTGAAATTGTTCCATATAATTAAAGAAAAATTCGTGGGTTGAATTGGAGGTGCTTAGATGTGGAGGTAGATTGGAGACCCCTGTACTAAACCATCAAATTCCTATTCTATCCAATCCGTACAATCCAAAATCCTTCGCAAGATATTCAATGCTGCTTTCTTGGTCACAAATAAAATTATCCATAATGACCTTAGTGTTTCATATGTCACTGATTTAGCCCAACCCACATCTTTCTTTCATAATTAACATCAGACCAAACCCACTAGTTTCTAATCTTGCTCCTCTTCGATTCCTGACAAAGTATACGTCAGAAAAGATGACCTCGGTACCATCTACTATTGAACTATTATTGAAAAACGCTATCGATGGGTAGTTTCTCTACAAGTTTTGTTATACCAATTCGCAATTACTGTATTTTTAGATACTATTATTATTGTATTATTAGATACTACTAGATACTGTTGTAAAATTCATGTTTAAATACAAAGTAAAATAATACTAAAATGCTTAAAACGCAACAAATAATTACTTTATATATATATATATATATATATATATATATATATATATATATATATATATATATATATATATTTTTTTTTTTAATCACAATTCATCAAATACGCAATTCGCAAATGTGGAACTCTTCAGCGTTTTAGAATTCGCTGATGAACAAAATTGGTGGATATCAAACCCGCGGAGTAAAAGGATTACTGTATTTCCGAAAACAGCTTCCCCCGGAGATTTTATTCTCATACGAAACATTATATTGTTTAGCCAGTGAAGTCGGTGATAAAGCTATACTGGCCTTACTTAGCAGTCTTTTTTTTTTTTTTTTTTAAGGGCTTTCAGTTAGCATTTAAACGTCATTTCATACCGTACCCTTCTTTTTCCTCCAGAATAATTACAAAACCGCTACTGGTCTGGTATATCTCTTTACACCATTATTTTTGCCATGTCAGGAAAAATAATTCACTAATATCGGTCCGCATTCCTTCACTACCCTGATCCAGCAAGCAGCTTGGACTGCATCCTCACCTGATCGTCCCAAAAAATACCATAACATAAATCCTTTACCTCAAGATCTATTGGACCTAATCCATAGCAAACGTTGCTCTAGGACCCTTTGGCAAAGAACTAGGCATCCTGATGACCGGAAATCGTATAATTATTATTCCAAACAGGTAAAAAAGAAACTGGAAACTTTTAAAACCCAATCCTACAATTCCTACCTCTCCTCATTATCCGCTAGTGATAACTCCCTCTGGAACGTAACCAAAAAAATCCTTAAATTCCAGTCCATTTCCCATCCACTTCGCCGTGATGATGGTTCCTGGGCTTCGTCAGATGCGAATAGAGCAGAGGAGTTTGCTAAACATTTATCCTACATATTCACCCCTCACCCCGAACTCCATCCCAGCCACACTGCTGAAGTTGAAGAATTCCTCTCTTCACCAATTCCTCTCTCTCTACCTCCAAAACCTGTTAACCCATCTGAGGTCAAATTCCTTATAAACAAATTAAAACCCCGAAAATCCCCTGGATATGATCTCCTCACTTCACAAATCCTCAGACAACTTCCCAAAAAAGCAATCATATTCCTTACCTATCTATACAACTGCATCCTTCGCACAACCAACTTTCCTTTGGTGTGGAAACATTCCATAATAATCCTGTTTCCAAAACCAGGTAAACCTGTTAATAACACATCATCCTATAGACCGATAAGCTTACTCCCGATCCTCTCAAAAATCTTTGAGAAAATCCTTCTCAAAGCATCCTACCCATAATCGAATCCCACAACATCCCTTCTCATCAGTTTGGATTCCGCTCAAGACATTCCACTGTCCAACAAGGCCTTCGTGTTGTGGACCATATATCCTCTGCACTTGAAAACAAGCATTATTGCACTGGTGCCTTTCTGGACGTAGCACAAGCTTTCGACCGGGTGTGGCACGATGGCTTGCTTTTCAAGCTCAAAACCCATTTACCCCAATCCTTATACCTAGTCCTCAAATCCTACCTCTCAAATCGTTCCTTTCAAGTCCGTTGTGACACCGCATTCTCCACTTACTATCCAGTTGAGGCTGGTGTTCCACAAGGCAGTGTCTTGGGCCCAGTTCTCTATATCCTCTTCACTTCCGATATCCCTTCCAATCCCGATACATTTCTAGCTACATTTGCTGATGATACTGCCATTCTATCTTCCCACTCAGATCCTCAAATAGCATCTCTAAACCTACAATCTCACCTCTCTTTGATTGAGCAGTGGTGCAACAACTGGCGCATCAAAATCAATGAATCAAAATGCAAACATATCACTTTTACCCTGCGACGCAGATCCTGTCCGTCAATCCTTTTTAATTCAATTCCACTTCCCTACTCAGACACAGTCCGTTACCTTGGCTTCCTTCTTGACAAAAGACTAACTTGGAACCCACATACCAGACTTAAAAGACAAGAACTTAACCGACGATATGGCCAGCTGTATAGATTACTAAGTAGGACATCCCATCTTTCGATTGAAAATAAACTTTTAATCTACAAGACCATACTGAAACCTATCTGGACCTACGGACTTGAACTGTGGGGAACTGCTAAACATTCGAATATCAAACGCATCCAATCCTTCCAGTCCAAAGTACTTAGAACAATAGTCAATGCCCCATATTATGTCACAAACAAGACCCTACACCATGACCTTAACATCCCATTTG